CAAGGTATTTGAAATGTTTCAGAACATGACTCTAATTTTTAGGTTAATAATTTGATTTTGTATGTGGTGTTGCCCTGAAGGCACGATATTTTTCGGTATCACGAAGAACGGCTTTTAATTCCACACGCAACATTTAAGTGATCTAGTGTAGATTGAACTTACTACACTAACGAACCTGTCTGCGATCTAAGCTTATTCCTCGTAAGATTTATTGTGTAAAATAATACTCGAGTTCTAGCAATCAGCTCAGGAAACTGCTTCTTTTGGTCCATTTCGGCACGTAGACTGAAAATACCCAAATCATCTCCTCTTTCCTATTGCATTGGCATCGCATTCGTCTTTGAGATAAAAATCATGACGACAACGGCCACAATTAATTTCATCACTATTTCTTCAGCCTCAAAGCCATTACTGCCACATCGCCGTCATCAGGATGATAGAATCAGAAAATTGCCACTCTCACCGCATCAGAATCCCGACAACGTCTCTGCTACAATATTAACTTTCTTATCTGTCATCACTATCTCAGCATTAAAATCACAAAGAATAACGCTATAAAAAAACACCCAGTCTTGACTATTATTAGCTTGTTCAACATGAAGTTGCCGCCCAGATTTCTAAACATTGTTGTTGGGCACTTTCATTCTTAAGGAAAATGGAAACCAAAAAAGAACACTTATAGACAGAATCAGGAAGGAATAGTCGAAATGTCTTGGACACATAATTAGGATGGAGAACTTGGAGATTTTGATACGCACAGGATATATCGAAGGCAAAAAAAGTGGAGGCAGTGAGCCACCTACCTGTGCAGCTCGTGGGAACGAATAGCAGGATGACAGTGGGAGAGATGGCAAACGTTACTAAGAGCTACAAGAAATAGGAAGTTGTGGAGAACCATGATTGGTCATATCCTAAATGTACAGGGCACAGGAAGTTGTTGGGCTGAATGATAAACAACCAGCCTTATATCTATCTATATCTCTGAGATGAGGTATTATGGTTATTTACATTATTCGGACTGTTATCCTCATCTTCATTGCCATATTCACAACGTTTCGGCCGTTGTACGCTTCGGCCTTCTTCAGGTGATTGGATCTCTGAAATGAGGTATTATGATGACTTGCATTATTTACATTATTCGGACGGTTATCCTCATCTTCATTGCCATATTCACAATGTTTCAGTTGTTGTATGCTCCGACCTTCATCAGGTGATTGGAATTTCGAATCGAACTCTTTATTTCGTCCACCGGGATATGTTATTCTAGTTCCACATACCATGAATAAAAGAATCGGTTTGAAATTCCAATCACCCGAAGAAGGCCGGAGCGTAAGACGGCCGAGACGTTCTGAATATGGCAATGAAAATGAAGATAACAGTTCGAATAATGTAAATAGTCCAGCCTTATGTTGCAAAAATAATATTATCCAAAATGGAAACATTCAACTAGCCTCCTCCTAAAAAGTCACCATTCATTCCAAGCATCTCGATCCCTTATTTGCATGGAAGAGTTCCTTAAGAAAGGACCAAGATGGAAAAGCTGCTAGCGAATTTATAGATTCTTTGAATGACTTTTTGTTTGTCGGGAACATGGAATAAATGCCCTGAGGCCGAGTGGTGAATTTATTGAAGGAATAAATTAAAGTTTTACCATGTTTAGTTTCTGTCTAATTAAATTGGCAAATTCACTTGAAACAATTTCATACAACTTAACCAGCAAAGTCTCTGTTCCATTGTCACACGAGTTCATTCGTTTCTTTTCGTTTTGACAAATTCAACGACATTGGACGGACGAAATAACCGCTTAGATCTCTCGATCTGACAAAATATCCACACACACACAAACACATGAAGCACAATGTCTCTCTCTCTCTCTCTCTCTCTCGCTCTCTCTCTCTTTAGATGGAAAACTGCAAGAACATTAGAAAAAATAATAAAAATTCTAAGATTTCCTTGTTTGTCACATTCAGTGAAATATGTCTAAAAGAAAGGATGCGTTCTTTCGTTCTTTCTCTCTCACACACATATATTTCTAAAGAATTAATGGATTTTATTTTTTGAATTCGACATATTTTTCACTTTTTCAAACGTTATTTTTAGTGGATGATCGTATTTGAGTAGACGTTCTGCTTGTTTAAGTTTCCTCTTGTAAGCAGGTCGCTAGTCTAAATAAATATTGTTTAAGCGTTTACTCAAATACGTGTATCTACTAAAAATAACGTTTGAAGTAATATATATATATATATATATATAAGGAGAGAGTAAGAGAGATGGCGAGAAAGAGAGAGAGAGAGAGAGAGCAAGAGAGAGAGAGAGAGCAAGAGAGAGAGAGAGAGAGAGAGAGAGAAGCTATGATAAATAAACAAAACAATCCCCAAGGTTTGTCTGTTTATCTCATTTTAGAACTATGTTATCTTACTCTTTATCTGTTAATCTAACTGGGTTATCCAGGTTTGTAGCTGACGTAAAAATACTTGTATGTGCGATGTTAAGCTTATATATTTTTCTGTTGTATGTCATATATTGTTCTCGCTCCTTAATAATGTTTTTTTTTCTTATATTCTTCCACACTCAGTAACTTACTGCGTCTTGGTGGCTTTATTGCCTTACTCGGGGTGAAATGATTAAAAAGTATCCTTTCAGGACATGGATCTTCACACGTTTCTGTCTTTTGTTCCTCTGAGTAATTCTTTCCCTCTATCGTCCCTTGGTTCTTACTTTGGCATGCATTCGGACAAACTCATTAAATAGGTTACTCACTATTCCCTCCCCGCTTCGCTTTCCTTCCTGTAATTTCTACTTTCACTTTCACTTTCTTTATTATGCGATCCAGAAAATTCAGCCGTCTCGTTTCTATTGTAAATATAAGCTTCCTTGTAGTTCCTATTTTCCTTAAAACTTCCAACTTACATCTTCTCTCCATTCTCTGTATTTGTAGATAAAAGCATATTTGCCAGACAGCGTTATCAATGTTGCCAAAAAGGTGGAATAATATGCGCTTGAATTATTATTTGAGAGACATAACACATAGATACATATCACCTAACGACAGATACAAATTAAACTCATCATTTATTAGAAAAAACTAAAAAAATACAAACATGATCACCACCAGCGATACAACAAGTAAGTTATAACTTCAATAAACATATGTTGTCTATGAGTTCGATTGCTTACTTAGAGAATGCCGATCTAGTAATAATAATAATGATAATAATTCATAATTAAAGCAGAACATGCATTGGTTACAATACTACTACATTATCGCGCTAATTAACATATCCTTTATCTGATAATAGTTCAATTACATCACATCATCAACGAACACAACCCCCCCGCCCGCAAAATACTTACTAAACGTATTTTATCACATAAGTTGTAAAACACGACTACAAATACTAGAAGCATTAAGCGTAAAAGCAGGCACTCTAACATCAATAGAATATTATCAAATTAATGAAATAATAGTAAATATATTTAATAGATAAATGAATAAAAAAGTCAACACATTATCACGAACAATCACGTGAAGACGGGATATTTGAAAATAATGAAATCGACATAGCATAAATCAAACGAAACATCGTTTGCTAATGGCTTATGAATATCGAAAGTACTCAGATATTGAAGAATTTATATTCAAATATGTAACGGAAACCAGGAAAATGATCCGAAATAGAAAAAATATATTAAAAAAAATTCTTAACGAAGAAATTTCATTGGTCTCTATCCATACTTGTCTAAATTAAAAACCACCTATTCGAGGATACCCGTTTACTAGGGCGTTTAGCTAGTCCCTATTGTAGACGCTCGCCTAGGCACATTTGTGTTTCTTCAACACCCACAGAGCCCAACTGTGGTTTATACTGCAACTATGCTGAGCAGACCTTAGAGTTTCTGGGAGAGAGCGTGTTATCTAGCTTGATCAACAAGCTGAACAAATCCAGCACACTCAAACCCTCGGTCACGATGACTTGTGACTTCGTGCTAGCATCGCATATGTTCCATTTACCCAATTTCACTCACAAGGCTTGATCCAACCCGTGGTATAGTTTTCAGAAGTGCCGAACGCTGGGTTCGTCCCCCTCCAGACCGATAACGTAAGAAAGTCTCTTTCATGACAAATCAACTGTCGTGATTCGAACTACTATATAACCGCCCATAATAGTAATATATATTGTTGTGTCGTGGCACAATAGTAAAAATAAGAAAATCAAGTCGAAGTTGGTTTAAGGAACAAGTGTATTTAACATCACAGATACAAAGGTAGGAAACGGGTACTACTCAGCTAGGCAGTTGTAGTACTGTCGCTGCTTACACCGGGTAGGTATTACTGGAACTATATATAGTGAGAACCGGTGTAATTCCCTTGTGTTAGAGGTTGGTGCAACATATATATATATATATATATATATATATATATATATATATATATATATATATATATATATATATATATAATGAAAAGAAAGAACAGTAAGATATATAATCCGGTGTTCTTATTAATATTTTTATTTTTACAAAACAGTGATCAATGTAAATTTACAGAGCACAAATATTATAAATTTACTTATTTAAAAATATGGTTCCACCGCTACACAGGAATTACCATGTTTCAAAAACAGAAGCTAAAACTTCGAATTCAATTATAGAATTAAATTAAAGTCCTTAGTTCTGTCTGTTTCATTTTGAAGCGAATTTTGGAACAGTTGAATTCGAAGTTTTTAGCTTCTGTTTTTGAAACATGGTAATTCCTATATATATATAGATTTGTACAGTTTATAAGTTTAGTCAAATGCAAAGTTTGGCAATACGGGGAGGAGGATAGTATTTCTTCAGGCTTTAAAATGTGCAGGACTTGTTTTTCTTGACAATTATCGTTTAAAATCCTTAATTCAAACTCTGAGCATTTGGCAGTAGTAGGAAATAGATAATTCCGTCACCAATGAACTGGGTTAACCCAGTTAGATTAATAGATAGAGAGAAAGATAACACAGTTCTCAAATGAGATAAACAGACAAGCCTTGGGGATTGTTGTGTTTATTTATCATAGCTTGAATTCTTTTCGCCATGAGCAAAGCCGTCTGTTGGTGAAGTGCTTTGAAAACCATTGAGATGTTCAGTACAGGCAGAAGAGTTGAATAATAATAATAATAATAATAATAATAATAATGAGAAGAAGAAGAAAAGAAAAAGAATAAAATGAAGAAGGAAAAGAAGAAAAAAAGAGAAGAAGAAAAAAAAGGAGAAAAACGAAAAAGAAGAAAAGAAAAAGAATAAAAAGAAGGAAAAGAAGAAAAAGAAGAAGTAGCAAAAAGAAGAAAAGAAAAAGGCGAAGAAAAGAACAAGAAGAAAAGAAAAACAAGAAAAAGAAGAAGTAGCAAAAAGAAGAAGAAAAAAGAAGAAAAGAAAAAGAAGAAGAAAAATAAGAAGCAAAAAAGGAGAAAAAGAAGAAAAAAGGAGAAAAAGAAGAAGAAGAAAAGAAAAAGAATAAAAAGGAGAAGAAGGAAAAGAAGGAGAAAAAAAGGAGAAAAAGAAAAGAAAAATAATAAAAAGAAGATGGAAAAAAGAAGTAAAAACGAGAAAAGAAGAAAAATTAGAAAAAGAAGAAAAATTAGAAAAAGAAGAAAGAAGAAAAAGAAGAAAGAGACAAGGAAAAAATGAAAAACAGAAAGAAAAGAGAAAAAGAAGAAAAAGAAGAAAAAAGAAGAAAAAGAAAAAGGAGAAAAAGAAGAAAAAAGAAAAATGAAGAAAAAGAGAAAGAAAAAAGAAAAGAAGAAAACGTGGGAAAAAGAAAACAGAAAAAAGAACTACCGAGAGAGAAGTGACAATGAAATGTTAAAGCAGACAAATGATAAACAAAAGATATTCAGAATGTAAAGAAAGAAAGAAAAATAATAGATGACATATATAAACTTAAGGAAGATTTAAAAAGGAAAAAAAGAAGAAAAATATGGAGAAGAAGAAAATGATGAGAAGAGAAAGACAGAGAAAGAGAGTGAATAGAAGAAGAAAGAACCGTGTTAAGGCAAGCAATTTGTACGAACAAAGTGAATATATAAAAAATCAATGAAGAAAGAACAGTTAAAATATTTATTCAAACTATAGAGCCTTTAACACAGTCAGGATCATCAAACAGGACATTTAAATGGTGTCGATAAATGTACAGTTTTGTAATTCTGAGAGGAAAACAGGAAGCAGCAAAAGGAATTGACCAACGCTGCCATCTGAAAATCAGAAAGCTGTACGGAAAAGAGTATTTTAAGAGAATTCGATCCGAATGAAATGACGGGAAGGACTCAGAAAATCTGTCTTTCGATGTTCTCAGCATTATTTGTTTCGTTATGAAGATCAGCACTTATTAATATTTTTCTTTCCAGCGCCCTTTTTCAGCTATTTAAACGGGCTGGCGCCATCTCCCTTTGTCAGAAAGGGCACGAGTGTTAGTGCAGCAGATTTAACGTGTTTACGTTTTGCTGTATCATAGCAACCGGAAATAAAGCTGTGACGGAAACAGCTAAGCGGCGAGCGGGTCAGGCCGTAGAAATTCCAGTGTTTGGCTTGCAAGTATTTTTCTTTTTTTACATGTGGTAATTGCATTTATATTTTTCAAAAACTACATCTAAAAATCAAGATTTACATATACATACATTTTTATACATTTTATACATATTATATAAATATATATATATATATATATATATATATATATATATATATATATATATATGTGTGTGTGTGTGTGTATGTGTATATACTAGTAGCATAGCCCGGCGTTGCCCGTGCTTGATTAAAAAATCGTACGACTCATACAGCAATCGCTATCACTTGACTTAAAATATTTTTGCCCTTCCTTGCCTTCATAGAAAATATTCGTCCTCCGACAGGAATCGAACCTGTATCCTATACGGAACCGTCATATTAAAATAATTGTCGGACTTTGTCCATTTCATAATGTGTGACGTCATTTGTTTACATTTGGATACGCTTTGAGCAGATATGAATGTACGTGAGAGATTCATGGAAGATTGAAGTTTAAAAGCAGTAAAACCGATCTTGCTAATCGAACGATCGCCCGTGGCTTGATCGGTTAAGGCACGTCAGGCTATATGACGGTTCCGTATAGGATACAGGTTCGATTCCTGTCGGAGGACGAATATTTTCTATGAAAATTTCTTGGGCATACAGGCCCGCAAATGTTACTAATACTGTTTATTATAAAACAGAGCATGCGTATACAAAATATTGGGACTTGTTCGAATCGTGGTTCAAAGGGCTAAATGACTTTACTGCCCTTTGAAAATGACAGGACTTTTTCAGGGCTCCCTGAATAAGGAGCATTTTAGAGTTCATAGTGTTTGTAGAGTGAGTGGCCATAGTTAGAATGATAGAACTGTCCAACAAAAAGAATTGACAAAATTTGCAATAAACAAGAAAAAGTAAAGAACAGGGCAAGAAAATAATCTAAAGCAAGCAAACATAATATGTAAGGCAAATTAACAGTAATAAGGCAAAGCAACAGTAATATTTTTGCAAAAAGTTCACAAACTAAGAATTGGGCTTGACGCACATGAGCAACTTTGGACAAGCGAACGGAACGTTCTGACTACAAGACAAGACAGACCGGGACCAAGTCATATGAAACCGAGAACTGGCCTGTTTTATTGGCTAGGAAGAAATCCCAGCATGCATTTGTGTTCTTTTGCCTATAAATTGAAGAGGGAAAAGTATTTTTGCAATCATTTCAAATAGGATTGGAACCAAGTGTTCATGCTGAGAACCTCTGATGTAGATAGATCTATATATATATTAATAGAACGGGGCAGACGTGAAGATATGAACACCAAGATGATCCTCTCCTGGCTAAGGCTGCGGAGACGTTCTTTCACACGTCACTGAAAGATGCTACAAAAAGCATTAAATTAAAAACTATCAAACGGATGTCATGCATAGCACCAAATTCATTCAAAAAAAAAAAAAAAGAAGAAAAAAAAAAGAAGAAAAAAAAAGCAGTCATTAGTTTGGCCAAAGGTCAAATTAGTAGAATCTTATGTGAAGAACGAAATGTATATGAATTTTACTAATCGTCGTCTTATGCAAAAGGTTTTTGCAGAAAACAGATTGGTACCCGATCCATTTACAGAGTTCTCAATGAGGCTCACTATTCCAGCAATGATCTACGAGAAACAATTGCCAACATGGATCTTTAAGCAAACAGTGTAGATCAGAAAAATAAGTTTGGATTGTGACTCAAAGTCACGTCTCTCTTTCTTTGGAGACAACCATTCTGTGGCGATGCTTTACTGATTAGGCTACGAAGATTCAGGACATACGTTGAAATCACGATAAAGACATTATTTATTTTTATTACACGCTCCATGCTAATGATGACAGAATAAACGCTTGGAAATTGCAATATTGTGCAATAGAAATAATTTGAAATAAATACGATTCATCATTCGAAAGGTTTTGAAATATTTTGATAAGTATATCTAATTTATTCTCAAATTATAGCAAACTCCGTCTTCCACTGTTCAACATCATTACTACACGTCGACTAATGATAAAGGGAATATTAGCCGTTTCCTTATAAGGAAACATTCGACATTCATTGATAGAGTAGCCAACGCTATTTTTTGTTTGGTTGTTTTGTTGTTTTTGTTTAGCGGAATATCAACACAACTGTAGACTATTTAACGTCGAAATCTAAATATTTTGTACGCAATTTTTATTTTATTTTATTTATTTATTGGAGATAATAAGGTTTTAGTTGCACAAGTCTTACTAATTAACCCATAGCTGGGGAGAGAAGAGATTGATTTCTACCTTTCCCAAGAGTATGCGTAAGTGAATATAACGAACCCAACAGGAATTGGAACTCGGTTATTCGATTTCCAATTTTCCCTACGCGCACATCCAAGCTTACAGCTCCTGGAATTCCTAAGTGGTCACCCATCTAGGTACTGACCAGGATCGATGTTCCTGAGCTACTTCCGGTCGTAGCTACTTCCTCAAGTCCAGTAGATGTTATCGATCTTTCCGATATTGATAGAGGTTTCCTTCCTAACTTTTTGTTTGAAGTTGTATGGAATGTCAATATCTTGATTATGCCATTATTTTCTCTTCTCAAGCCCAGTAGCTGTTATCGCTCTTTTCAGTATTGATAGAGGTTTCCTTTCTAACCTTTGGTTTGAAGTCGTGTGCAATGTCAACATCTAGATTATATCATTATTTTCTCTTTTTCAGTTCAGTAGCTGTTATCACTCTTTCCAGTATTAATGGGGGGGTTCCCTTCCTAACCCTTTGTTTGAAGTCGTGTGGAATGTCAACATCTTGATTATGTCTTTATTTTCTCTTTGAAATTATACGTGAGATCCATTTTAGTTGTTGTTATTTTTGAAAGACCTCAAGTGATGTAACTATTATTCGTATTTTATGATTCTGTAGCGCCAGATCAATGAGATTAAAAAAAAAGTGTTTCGAGCGAATGAAGCATCTGGGCCATAACGAAGACCAACCTTTTTCGAAACTCGTGGACTGTTGTATACAGCTTACAGTCTCGATGTATTTGCACGAGTTTAACAGCATGCATAGCATCCCTATCAAAGCCTCGATCTGACAAGGAACGTGACTCGAGATTGTGACGCCATATTGTTCCTAGGAGGTTAATTAAGATATTTGCTGCTTACTTAGCAATCATAGAATGACGATGTGGGAATGAAGCTAAGAAATTTAAAACGAAAAAAAAAGTAGTAAAAATAAATGATAGTTTGATGCAATTAATGCTCATATTTGGAGGCACGGGGGCACCTCGAGGCGGTGTAATGGTTAGCAAGCTTGTCGTGCTACGAACAATTACGACTGAGTAGTGAGTTCGATCCTCACTGGGTGCCCCATACTTTCGGCCTTGTGCCACATCTAAGCTACGCTTGGAAAATCTCTATTTGGAGGCACGGTATAGTAATGGTTGGCGGATGGGATTGTAGAGCCGAGTTCGAATTCCAGTCGAGTTCATTAATTTCACTTACGTTCTAATACCCTTGGGAAATTTATGAATCCAATTTTTTACCCCAGCTATGGATAAATAGTAGGATAGACTCGGTTCTATACCCTTGGGCGGCAACCGTTGTAGGAGAAGGAAAACTCTGAATGCAACTAAAGGAAATGATCATTCACATTGACTCGATGATCCCGACTACGGTAGATTCCTTTCAATACTCATAGTACAATAGGTATTTACTACGATATGCTTAGCATAATGTGTGTTCCTAACACTAATACCCTTAGTCTACATTTAACACACTACAGTAGTAATGTCATTCTACGTTCACTTAGCTTAAGATGGAACAGGTGCACCTTTGTGGGTTACCGAAAGAAAGAGTGAAAACAATAGACTCGCTAACCATTATGTTACGGCAGATTTCCCACTAAACTCTTAAGAAGAATATGCAACATTATTGGTCCTGACCTGGTATCTCGGCTTCAGTCACTTTCCCACGGCCGTAACGTAGCTTCTTCCCTCTGACTTTTCTATAAATATTTTGACAGTAATTGCTCGGATAAGATTTCCACATTGATACCTCAACATTACGCATTTGAGAACAATACTTGATTGGAAGATAGGTCTCATAATTTCACTGTTGAATTCGCTAAATGTAACCATAATTTCTATGCTAACAGTTTCTTATCTCGCACTTCTCGCTGGTAGAACTCTCTTCAGGCTTCTCGCATTTCTGTCACCTACGATTTAAAAAAAATTAAATGCAATGTCAGTTGTCATCTTCCGTCTGTTTATTTTGCTGTTCTTTTATTGTCTTCCCTGTTTCTTTGACTTTCAGTAACCTCTTGCATCCCAGTAGCTTTGATTGATCTGGTTGGCGTGACATGCTTAAAAACATATATACAATTAAATCAGCCCATTCACCTGTTTGTAAAATCTGCGGTCGCCTCGTGGTAACTAGTTGAAGGAAGTATGAAACAGAACAGAAGAGAGACAATAACGGGCTTAAAAAGGCAACGTTGGTCTTCTTTTCAGGCTCCAACGATTACGTGCCAGGTGGAAAATGCAACTATGTTCTTGATTACCGTCCTACAAGATGAAGAATATGTTTTTATGGTATCCTTCTTTTCTGTTTTTCCTTCCTTGCGTTTTTGCTTCCTAAATCTTAGTTTAGTGATCCGTAATCAGGTCAAAAGTTTTCTGGTGATCTTATCTGGCCTACATAATTAGCAGCGCTGAAAAGCCTTCATTTGCCCCCAGAAATCTAGGTAGACCCGATTTCTTACGTGTTTTCGTCGTAAACTTATCTGAACACATATTTTCTTTTCGGACCCGCACCGTATCCAGCACGTTGTCATTAAGAAAATATCTATCACATATTTTGCTTATCAATTATACGTTGCTCTTTATTTTCTTAGTAAAAAATACTTTCTTTCTTTCTTTCTTTCTTCTGTCGGCTGTTTTTATTAATTTCCATTTTTTTTGTATGAAAATGGCCTTTCTTGTTTTTTCTTGTATTCATACGCGTTTCTGTGTTGTGCACTCGTTCCGTTCTTAAATCGATGCTATTTTATAATAATGTCTATTTTATTTTTAAATCTTTCTTTTTTAATGCACCTTTTTCATTAAACTAAATCACCCTTTCTTTTTTTTGTCATTTTTTTATCCGTTTGTTTTTGTTTCATTCTTTTTTATCCAGCCCTTTTTATAGACCAAATTGATTTTATTTATTTATCTTTTTCTATGTGACATGTCCGTTTAGGACGTTGGCGATCATGGCTCTCCTCAACTTCTTATCATTTTTAGCTCATACTAAGGTTTGTCTATTCGTTATCTCTCACAATTCCTGTCCTGTCATCCATTTACACTACCTAGGAAGCTCGCTTACTGCTTTCCTATTGTCCCTCTTGCCTTCAATATGTCGTCTTATGAGTGTCAGATTCTCCAGATCCTCTTTCCTCGTCACGTAGTCTAGAAATTTGATTCTAAGTATAAACGGTCTTTTAGTAACTTAAGTCTGCTATAAAATGAAGTCAAATGAGTAGAGGAAGATTGTATAGCCCCAATGATAGGTGTATGGAAAGGCTGACGACTTCTCTAGAAAGTAGCGGATAGTAGGGTTGGGAAAATCAGTATTTCACTCAAAGCTCAGGATCTTTGTAATTTTATTGTTTCTTTCTTTGTTTCTTGATTTATTTATTGCCTATTTATTCCTTATTCAGATAATAGTTTATTTTAAAAAAATTGCCATTGTTTTAAGCGTGTAATAAGAAAACATAAGGATAGACTGAGATATGAGGAGATTGATTTTGACAGGTAGCAATAATCTAATGGATATGCAACTATGAACAAGCTGAGATAGATATGGACAGACTGAGATAGATTAATGAGACAGATATGAGTAGAATGGGATAGATCAATCTATCAATAATAGTGAACAGGTTGACACAGATCTGAACAAACTGGGATAGATAGATATGAGCAGGCTGATATAGTTATATAGATATAAATATTAACGTATATGGAAATGTTGAAATATATAAAACATATATATATATATATATATATATATATATATATATATATATATATATTAATATGTATGTTTTTGTGTGGACAGATAAATTTGAACGTAGATAAAAACAGTTTGAGGCCGATAAATTGATTAATCAACAGAACAAAAGAAATTTTATTGGAAAGCAGGTATTTTTGGAACTTTGTCCGGATGACAACAAAAAGCTTTTATTTCGCGATATAAAAATATATACGTATATACATGAATAACATTTAAGAATTTACACGTACATCTAAAATAACATCAATGTGTTTACGACTCACACTCGCATTGAATCCTCCTGTGTATGTGTGTGAGTGCTAACACACATGCCAACATCCCCACATTTTTTTTGGGGGGGGGGGTGAAGCGTGGGTGAGGACATGAAGGACCGACTGCTGCATCTGGTTATTGAATCACTTCCTGTATCAGTTATAATTTTGCCGAGGTTCAAATTCCTAACCCGGCGCAATAACAAAGCGTTCTTTTCCAAGTGACGCCATAATGGTTGACTCGTCAAAAATGGTTTCTGAACTCGGATTGGTTAGATTTAATGAAAGCAGACAATGTGATTATTCTCTCCGCCAAAATCAACTTGCTCCTTAGATGATCATAAGACTTGTTTTCAGAGGAAAACCAATTTGACTTCGACCCTGAATCGTTAAGTCACGTTTACTTTCAACTTTACCTTGTCATTGCAGCTTTGCTATACGATTTGATACCTAATCAGCTATATGGCAGTGACTGCTGGAGACACTCCTCAGAGATGAAGAAAAAAAATTGAAGTGAGGGAGATGGGGTTCGACCGACGAATGCTAAGAATGGCAGAGTATCTGAGAAATGAAGTAGTTTTAGGAAAAATGGAATTTACAAGGATAATTATAATTAGAAGAGACATCTACAGTATTGAGGAAAGAGGCTTGGAGAATCTAACACTCACGGAACAAATTGAAGTAGGGTGAAACAGGGTGTAACTTATTTGACAGGTCTGAGTGAATGGGCGACAAAAAAAAAAGACAAATGAATATTTTAAAGGATCAAAAATTACAAAAGACAGGAAGTTGTGGAGAGGCATGATCAAAGAAGACTATTGCTGTAATTACTTCGATTCACATTAGATACTCCACTTTCGTCAGACAGAAAATAGCTTAGTAAATATTATAATGCTTACTAGATAAGAGGTGCTAACGGAGTAACTCTACACTACGTTTATTTAATGAGTGTCAAGTTGTGATATGGCTAACAAACATGTTTTAATGGCCAACATAAATCTGTTACATGATGAAATGAGAAGAGGAAGATTTTATTGGGCCAATCCTCGTCTGCTGTTCACAAAATTCGAATTTGTAAACAATGACTATTACTGTTAATACTGCAAAGCTCTTCCATGCAATGAGCCCTCTTAGTCGTTGGCGTGTTTATTTCTCTCTACCTGGCGCTGATAGCTCAAGGATAGAATCTCCGACTGATGGCAAATCAGTCGGGTTTTGATTCTGGTTTGAGGCAATTGAATATCTAGACACAATGATGAGCTGTTATATAACGAAACAGTCTGCCTGTGGATGACAATATATACACCAACAGAAAATTTAATTCTGGTCGAGCACTCTTGAGAGAAAGCGCGAATTTGTAAACAATGACAACTACTGTTAATGCTGCGAATCTCTTCCATGAATTGAGCCCTCTTGGTCATTGGCGTTTATTACTCTCTACCGGGTGCTGAGGCAATCGGATGTCTAGCCACACTGATGAGCTGGACATCCGGGAAACAGTCGGTCTGTGGATGATGATATATTTTCTATCATATAAAAAAGAAGCGAACAGCAGACGATGGCTGTGTCGGGAAAATGTGTTTTATACTGCAAAATGTGTCTTTTTTTTCTTACGGTTATATCACGTTGAAGCACAGGTTCTCGTCTGATTATCGAAGTTAAGCCACGACAAGCCTGGTCATTACCTTGAAGGGTGATCGCTTAGGGATACCAGGCGCTTTAAACTTAGAAGTGTAGTAGTGTAATGGATAACGGCTCCGAGCTTGAAGAACCAAGATCCAGTTCCAGTCGGGTTGGTGATATTTACTTACGCGCTAATACTCTTGAGAAAGCTATGACACTAGCTCTTCTCCCCTCCCATCAATGGCTTAAACAGTATTATACTTGTGATCTCCCTCAAAATAATTACAATCCAAAAATATATTTTGGTTTTCAATATCCTGAAAAAGGTTGATAAGTTGTAAAAGACAAAGCAATAAATCTTTCCTTTGTTATTTTGGACATTTTAATCTGTGTTTTCTGTGCTTAATAAGCAACTATAGGGAGACTGAAGTAGTTATTGTTAAGAGAATCTATTTTTATGAAAGAAACTTCTTTGTGTTCTGTGCCATTTAGATAAAATACTTTAAAGGACTCTTTGATGTGGCCGGATGATCTTAAAACGTGGAATTATTTCATCCGGGTATTCGTATTCGATTGGTTGACTTCAGAATTAAGCGAGTTGACTGGCGAAATCAGTTGTTGTAGAAATCTGTTTTAAAGCAGTTCATTTATTACCTTCCGCTGACCTGACATGTAAACTATACCACAAAACCCCCAACAACTCTCTACTGAAGTTATTTGGAGTTATTTCTAACTTCTTGCCGATATGCCTTCATGTTGTTTACCTTTTTCTCATTGCCCATAATCATTGAAATTATAATAAAACCTTTTTTTGTTTACTTTAAACTTAGCTGGTCTTCTTCTCGTTCCCTTTACTTCTCTTCGGCTTATTTCTTTTGACGCACACGTGACAATATAAAGAGATTGATATTGGCAGGTATCATACTCTGATAGAGATAGGAACAGACTGAGATAGATAGATATGAAGAAATTGAGATAGATTAATAAATAGATAGATATGAACAAGTTGAGATAGATAAATATTATCAGGCTTAAATAAATAGGGAGACACATCTGAACAGATTGAGTTTGTAGATAGATCGATAGATATCTGTCTATATTTCTGAGATGAGGTATTATGTACATTATTTACATTATTCGGACTATTGTCCTCATCTTTGTCGCCATATTTATTACAACATTTAGGCTATTGTATGCTCCGGCCTTCTTCAGGTGGTTGGAATGTCGAACTTCCTCAAAGACACATGGCACAGTGGATAAAGGCGTTGGTTAGATCCAGTGACAGGACCCAAAGAGTGTGAGTTCCATACCTGGTTGAGGCAGTGCAGAGCTTTCAGAGGAAAATTAACAGGAGATAACTGATAACTGACATTCATTAAATATGGAAACGAAACGAAAGAAAGAAAAAAAAAGAAAGGTGGGATAATTTAACATTTAATCTGAGGAGGCGCGGTGGAGTAATGGATAGCGGCTTGCATTGAGAGCCTAGTTCAAATTCCAGTCGAATCCATTACATTCACTTACGTGCTAATACCCTTGGGAAAGTTGTGGATCTTCTTCTCCCTCCAGCTATGGGTAAATATAGCCTTGGATGGCAACTGGTCTAGGAGAAGGACAACTAAGGCGGATGGACGGCACTTTATGCTACCTTCCGGCAACTCCTGCAGCCGCGCTGGTACCATACTGTATTGGTGTATCCTCTCCTTTGGACTCTGCTAGCAAGGCCGAGAGCGGGGAACTAGACGTCTGGGCAGCCCTAGTTCTCCATATATCCCGCCCAGGCTCGTAGCACACTGGCGCTACTCCATCGTCTCTCGAGACGGACGGATGCCGACGAATATGAACAGGCTGAGATAGGTAGTTAGTGAGAAAGAAATGAACAGTGTGAGCTACGATGGACTCTCCAAATTCCTCCATTTTATTTCTACATAAACAACAGATACGTGGAGCACAATTATATCATTGTATTCGGAAAATTTTCATGTACAAAACTCATTTTCCACGGTGGCTTTGTATTTTCGAAATGTTCTTGATTACATAAGTTGTCAGCTATTGACGGCCCTACAGATTATCTCATCACCATTACCTATAGACTGTACTGTTTTTTTTTGTTGTAGACGTTCAACATGCATCAGTTGATAGCAATGGCTTCAATATTGTCCGGATAAAAGAATTCAAGGTTGCACCTCTCCTTCGAACGTACTTTCAATACAGCCGCAATTTTACCAGACTGCTATCTGAAACAGCTAAAAAGAATCAAATATTAACAGAAAATATCAGACTCAGCTGTCACACTAGCGACATCCGCCTCTATTTTTGTGGACCAACTTAATAAAAGTTATCAGTTTCGGAAAGACCCTTGCAAATAAATAGGTAAGGACACGCCAATATAGATATATAAAAATCTAGACAAATATATAACTGAATGAAGAAAAGTCTACCATTGGAAGTGGTACACGAGAAGGATTATATTGAGTCAAGTTTCCATTTCGAGAAGGCGCGAATTTCAAAACATGGCTCATTGCCAGGACACGAAAATCGAGTACTTGCCTTCGATTTTGGCCAGAGGGTTAGGGTTTTCCAGTCCGAACTAAGTGAGATATGAACAGCTCGATGGAAACCGATAAAACTTCATTAGCAATTAGATAAGTATAGATTTATACAATATCAAAATATTTATCAGGGAAATAGCTAAAACTAATTGCCTGCTCAGATAGAAAACCAAATTCTGTAAAATAAAAATGATGATCGTGACACGAAGAACCCAAAACAAAACTCACAGTTTATGTTGCGTAATATGCGTACGGAAAATTTTGAACTGAATATTCGTTTCCTTGTACAAAAATAAGAGAAAATCACACAAAAAATTAACAAAAATAATCTTGTATGCGGCCTTTTAACAGATGAAATTAACTATAGACGAGAGAGTGCGGAAAAGGTTTTGATTCAACTCAGAAAGATACAAAATATGATATTTTAGCATTTGATAAGATTCTGGGAATTGGCTCAGGCTCAGAACATTATAGAAGCAACTCGAATGTAAACACATTTAGGAGTGGGATACACACACACACACACACACACACACACACACACACACACACACACACACACACACATATATATATAAATATATATATATATATAATAATAATCTTATAAATATAAGTAAGTATACTCGTCCGGAAAAACCTTAGGTGTATTGGCTTGTAAATGAACAAACCGATACCAAAGGAAAAAAGAAACAACTAAAAACATGTAATTCAGACGAATACGATCGACTAGAATCCAATCTAAGAGATCAAAGAAAAAAACCCAAAAAACTACGCAGATTGTCAGGGTACGCCGGCGTACCCTGACGATCTGCGTAGGTGATACCTAGGTAGGTTTGCTAGGCTCTTTTAGGTTTAGTTGGCATATATTTATATATATATATATATATACATATATATATATATATACTCAGAGGTCACCCTAAAATGTATACACACTTCAGGAAAGTTTTATCAAATTGTGATAACACTGTTTACTGTAGGACGACATTTTCTCGACAGGTGTCATTACATTGGTGAACCTTAGACAAGATATTGAAAATGCATGTGCAGCAATCCGGTTGGCCACTTTGGCCAAATATCCAAGCAGCAGTTCTGCATACTAATAAATGTCTGGTAGCTAAAGGTTACCATTTTGAGCATCCTTTGTGATTGTCGAGTCTATAGGTAACTTGTATTAATCTCATGATGTCTGAATAAATTTAGTATCTAAATATCTATACAACTTTTTCCTTTCCTGAAGTACGTATATATTTTTGGTGAACCTGCGTTAAGGTGTTTGTGGCATCTGCTTGATTATTGTTGGCATGTCGGTGGAAGATGTTTTAGGTTTGTCGTTGGTTTTCCTATAAGGTTGATATTTAACCTTTATTCGGTTGATTGTGGCATCTAGGAAAACTACTTTCAATGAAAACATTTTCAACAATGTCATGAAAATAAAGTAACAGCGGACCTGGTGCATTGTCGATAATACTCACATACATATCACACAGTATAAAAAGCTATCAAGAAAAGACCCATCATCTTGTTCAACCCTTCGTAAATAAAAAAACAAATATAGGAAAAATATTCATGAAACTCATACTGAAAAACTTTCCCCCAACAAGCACCCTCTACACGATATTCAAAAGAAACACAGGAAAAATCAGCTGCTCTGAGAAAGTGACATAATCAAAAAGTGCATAAAGAATAATCAAAAAACCACCTAAACAAAAGAAACCGAACTGTAACTCCAGGGCAAAGAACGATTGTCCTTTAAATGACAATTATTTACAAAAGAATATAACAAACCACTGTACAGTCAGCAGATAATGAAGGAAAATATAAATAGTAGTAACTGAAGAACCCTGGAAACAGAAACTATTCGTACAAAACAACCTTTACAAAAAGTAAATACGCGAACAGCACAATTCTTTATAAACATATATGGGAAGTTAAAAACAAAAACAAAAATACACCAAAAATATAATGGAAAATAAGGAAAACAGCATCAGATTACAACAATAAATCCCAAAACTGTAACTCTGCTTGTAGGACAAAATAGCTATAATCCCCAGATAAACATAAATTATTAAATAAATTCAACTTATCGCAAAATACAGACACAAAAGCAAATTTTTACGACATTACTTAAAAATCAAAACCCCAAAACGAATAGCTTGTAAAATATCACAATGAAAAATGCAAATATATGTACTATATACAACACAGATAATATAACATTTATATAAAGCCAATACTTGAAACTATACAAACGACCGAAAAAAATAAAACAAAATAAACAAAAAATCTAATTAAATAATAAACAAATTAACAAACTACGATTACTCTCATAAACACAAGTAAATTTAAAAATCAACAAATAATTAAGTAATCAATAATAAATAATGAATAAAAAGTTAAGAAATAAATACATTCACCGTCCACCTAATAACCGTCCACCTAATAACAGTCGGATTAATACCATCAGTTATGTGCCATGCGTGATACACGTTTAAGCGATCATATATCTTCTGATACATGACTGACGAGGCAGATTTTTTCCCGCAGTAGGTTACCATTTCTTTCTGAGGTAGACCAGTTGCCATCCAAGGCTATAGAACCCAGTCTGTACTGATATTTCCCTATAGCTGGGAGCGGGGAGAAGAAGAGGATTCATGCCTTTCCCAAGGGTATTAGCACATGAGTGAATGTAATGGATGATTAATACCATAGACCTATCATAACCTGTAATGAATCACTGACCAGCATGTATAAATAGTTGAGACAAAACACAACACACATGGCCTGAAGATTGCGTTTGAAACAGGAAACAGACTGTCGTCGCTTGGTGTTGAACTCCGTGTCCACATTTGTATATACATCCGTTCTATCTCTGATATTGAGCACTTTTATCCATAAAAAAAGAATTTCCATCAATCAGTGTTAGTTTGAGGAATTCCCCAAACCTTCAAATAGTTCCTAAAAAAACAGAGTGATATGAAACTTTGCAACAGGTCATAGTAAGTCAACTCAAAAATCTTCGCTCGTCTGTACAAAGCTACGCCAATTGATCCTCTTTATCCAAAAGGATAAGCAAAGCGCGGAGAGGTTAAAAGACTTGCTGACAATTGAAATTACATGTTCGTTCCTTTGTTAAACGGTTTGTCTTTTCATTCTTCCTTTAAAACGGAAATAATTATAGTTACTAAAAAGTATGAAGTTCTTTCTGTGAAGATTTCAAATGAATTAATAGACTCGCAAAATGAATGAAAGTTTTGCATACAAAATTTTGTTAGAAAAAGATGAATGAATTGCAGTTTTAAATTTTACTACAATTATTGAAAGTTTCCATCTATATTTCTGAGATGAGGTATTATGTACATTATTTACATTATTCGGACTATTGCCCTCATCTTTGTCGCCATATTTATTACAATGTTTCGGCCGTTGTACGCTCCGGCCTTCTTCAGGTGGTTGGGATGTTGAACTTAACCCTTTATTTCGCTCACTGGGGTAAACTGTTCTAGTTCCACTTGCCATGTTTTATGGATGTCAGTTATCAGTTATCTCCTGTTAATTTCCCTCTCTAAGTTCTATTGAACTCAAACTCGTTGGGTCATGTCACTGGATCTAACCAACGCCTTTATCCACTGTGCCATGTGTCTTTGAGGATATCTGTGTATGAATTTCTGGGTATTATAAACCTAATGTCTTCAGCAACCATTTTTACCAGTGCTCATATTGCAATTTTTTGCTGTTATCATTGCATGTTTTTACCAGAGCTCATATTGCAACTTTTGTTGTTATTATCGCTTTTCCCATATTGTTCCCATATTGTATTAATTTCTATGCTTGGTCGGCTCATGAGATTTTTGTGGCCTAGCATATGTGCTGATTCCTTAAGTTTACGAATTTTCCAATGGTGTTCCTCGTCATAGACAAGGAAGACCATTGAAGAATTAGGTTTATTTACTGACAATTATTTATTATTAATGAATAAAAAGATGCAATTTAATTTCCATTTTTGAGAGCGATGTCTTATCCAACTTATTTGTTTTTTTTTTAAATTTCTAAACTTCGTCTGTTTTGGAATAACGAATCTCGGCTCAGCTCAGTGTCACTTGCGACAGGAGCCGCAGTATTAGTTACATCCGTACAGTTACCTCAATCTCAAATATAAATACAAGGGTTAAGCTCTATAAAATTAGAGATGGTCGTTTCTGATCGCATATTAAAGGCATTTCTCGCTTCAGCAACCAAAAGAGTAGAGGAGGTACATAAAAAATTCCTGAAACGATTTAGAGATCAGAAAATGATGACGAAAACTGAAAGTGCTGGTTGCATTTCAAGTAGCTTATGTGCGCGCTATTCGGAGAGATGTTCTTGGTTAGTCGTAAAACGAAAAACAGCAACAAAGAAAGAACATATCAAATGTAAAATAATTAAAAAATATTTTCAAGATAAATGTATAAAAAAGAAAAGCCTGATGTTCTTATTTTATGTCAAACAGACGTAAGAAACTGTTGCTATCTTCCGACTGACATGAGGAACATTGAAGTTGAAGAATCAACCGCTTGAATGCAAAATTCAAATCATTTCTTCTTTTTTTATTTCGACAGTTTGGGGAATATTATTTATTTTATTTTTGTACTTACAATGTATATGTGTGTTTGTGTATGTAATATTGTTTAAAATTTGCTATATTTATAGAAGAGTGATCAAGATTGGAGACTGACACACACACATACGCACACATCCATATATATATATATATATATATATATATATATATATATATATAGAGAGAGAGAGAGAGAGAGAGAGAAAGAGGGGGGTGAAGATGAATACAAGTGAAAGGTTTGTCACTTAGATGAGTGATGTTACCGTCAGCAACGCGTCTCCAAAGTTTCGTAGACGGACCCTTCGGCAATCACTCCGTCAGAGGATATCAGTAATTGACTGTTTATATTATTTATTTTTATTTATGTCTCTTGAATGCTTTGGGAACATAGGGCCGCAACAAAACCTCTCCAATGGGCGCAGTTCCGGGCGATCCTCTCCAATGGGCGCGGTTCCGAGCGATCCTCTCCAATGGGCGCGGTTCCGAGCGATCCTCTCCAATGGGCGCAGTTCCGGGCGATCTTCTCCAATGGGCGCGGTTCCGGGCGATCCTCTTCAGCTCGGCCCATGTCGTGCCGGCTGCCTTAACCTCTGCGGCAACACTTCTGCGCCAAGTCTGTTTTGATCGACCCACTTTTCACTCCCCTTGTGGATCCCAGTCAAGTGCCTGCCTGATGACACTAGAAGGCTTGCGGAATGTGTGGCCGATCCATCGAAATTTCCGTTTCTTGATATCAATCTCGATTATGGCGTGTCTGTTCCTGTCCTACAGTTCGTTATTGGAGACGACTTACGGCCACCTGATATTGAGGATGTTTCTAGGACATTGGTTGGTAAATGTCTGAAGTTTGTGGTCTTGATTACCCGTCAGGTTTCTGAGCCGTAAAGGAGGACCGACTTGACGAGATCCGGATCTTGTTGCAAAGTGAGAGGGCTGTTGATCTCCAGATTGGCCGCAGAGTGTTGAAAGGGTATCAGGCTTTGTTTATTCGGCACTTGATATTTTCATCTGTGCCCCCATATTTACTGATAACGCTTCCCAGTTTGACAAACTTATCGACTTCCTTGATGTCTTCTTGGTGTATTCGCAATGGGTCTTGTTTGTTGTTTACCCTCACGACCTCCATCTTCCCGATGTTGATTTGGAAGCCAGTCTTCTCCGCTTCTTCTGGGAGCAAGAAAGAATGCCCGAAGAGTGGAAGAAAGGCCACCTTGTGAAGCTGCCATAGAAAGGGGGCCTCTCATCCTGCAACAACTGGAGAGGGTACTATGCTGCTCTCCATCCCAGGGAATTGACTGTTTATACTACGATTTTTCTTTTTTACTTTTCATTGGTGCAAGTTTTTTATATTAATCAATTCACACCCAAGCAAAGCAATAAAGTCACTAAGACTAAGTCTGAAAATGTACGAGGAAAAGAAAAAAAACATTATTAAGAGAAAATAATAAAAGAATAAGAATTAAGAAGACAGACGATAACGATTGACATTGCATTTAAATTTTTGCAGATCAAAGTTAGCTTGAAAGCAAAAAAGCCAGAAGAGAGTTCCACAAGAAAGAAGTGGGAAAGAGGCAACTATGAGCATAGAAGTTATGGTTACCTGTAGTCATTTCAATTGTAAAATGATGAGACCTAACTGCCAATCTAGTACTACGCTTACACTTGTAAAGTCAAGGTACAAAAGAGGGAAATCTCATCAGAATAATTACCATGAAAATATTTATAGAAAAGCTACAGGGACGATACGTTATTGCGGTGGGCAAATGTATGAAGCCGAGATGCCAGGTTAGGACAGATAAAATCTTCTACGGATTTTATCAAGAGCATTAAATACAGAGCGGAAGCATCAGACCAGATGTAACAGCAATATTCAACACACACAAACACACCCACCCACACACACACACACACACACACACACACATATATATATATATATATATATATATATATATATATATATATATATATATATATGTACACTACCAGGCAAAATTATTTGGCCACCCTCAAAAAGTTTCATAAGAATGTTATTTTTAATGAAACAATTTAAGCACCACAATGCTTTTATTTATTATACTAAATACAAGTCTTCTTCAGTAACTTTGACTTTAGTATAACCAGATGTCTTTGGAAAAATTCATTTGAAGGCGTTTTTCTTTTTTAGTACTGAGCATAAATAAAACGTTTTCCAAAAGTTACATTATACCATCACTTGAATTCACATTGTGTTGAATTACTGCTTGCTAGATACTAACTATTTTATCTATACTACCAATGTACTTTGCCCATTAGTGAAATCAGTTATTCTTATTTTTTAAAATTAAAACCTAAATTTTGCAACTTTCGTTTGAATCAAAATTTTTCTCAACAAAATGCCCAAAACTTGTAAACTTACACCTGAACAAAGACAAGAGATCAATACTTTAAAAAAAGAAGGATATTCAAGCAAAGAAATTTTAAAAATTGCCAGAACTACAGTGGATTATACTGTTAGGAGAGATCAGGAAATGGGAAAAAACAAGACCAAAAGTAGGACTGGTAGACCAAAAGCAATAATCAGAGCAGAGGATAATTTCATCAGAGTCACTTACTTGCGTAACAGAAGGCTGATTGCTCCAAACATCACTGCACAATTGAACCAATGTCGTGAAAAAAAATGTGTCAACATCCACTGTGAGAAGAAGACTCTGTGAAGCTGGCCTATATGGCAGAATTGTTGTCAAGAAAGAACTGTTTAGGAATAAAACAATATCAAAAGTTTTCAGTGGACCAAGACTGGACAACAGAGCATTGGAATAAACTTCTTTGGACTGATGAATCAAAATTCGAAATCTTTGGGTCAAATAGGAGGGTCTATGTGCGACGAAGTGTTGGTAAAAGATCTGTAACCGCCACCCCGTATCACACCAACCGTAAATCATGGAGGAGGCTCTGTTATGTGTGAGGGGGTTTTACCAATTGCAAAGTCGGGGATTTGCACCAGGTGAAAGGCAAATTGAATCAGACCGGCTATCACAGCATACTGCTTCGACTAAATATATTTTGAACGTCTCTCAACTACAGATAAAAATTATTGCTGGCCATTTTGCTTTAAATACGTAATGATAGTCATTTTACTATAAATATGCATTTTTCGTCATTTTAATATATATATATATATATATATATATATATATATATAATCATTTTTATAGAAAAATGTATTGTTGATATTTTTATTATAAAAATATATTTTTATAATTTCATAGTGACTTGCTTGGCGATTCATTATTTATCAATAGCTGGACCCATCTATGGGTAAATAGTTAACTCTTACCAGCAATACTTTTTTGAAAAAAATTATTACCAGCAATACAATTTTGAAGGAAATATATTACCAATAACAGATTTTTGACAAAACAAAATATTACCAGCAATAAAAATTTTTGTCAGCATTAAATAACCCATTGAGGTTGATATGCCATAAAACAAAATAAACCAAACCAATCTAAACCAAAGAATACATATTCTCTTCATACGAATCTATCCTAAAAATCTTGTCGGCATTAAATAACCCATTGAGGTTAATATGACGTGAAACAAAATAAACCACACCAATCTAAACCAAAGAATACATATTCTATTCATGCGAATCTATCCTAAAAATGTTTTCGGCATTAACCCACTGAGGTTGATATGACGTAAAACAAAATAAACCAAACCAATAGCTGAGACCCTAACAGGTACTACCACCCTGGGGCTGGGTAGAGCCGGGTAAAAACAACAATTAAGAAGTGGTTCCACTCTCATCAGGACTTTAAGTCTCTCGAACAGAGGCCTTGCTACCGGATGTAGCGTATTCGAGACTAGTATACTAACGTACAAAACATTTGGACCACCTTGGTAAACTATTGGTAATTTTACCTTCAAATCGAAAGTGATTAGCAGTATAACTTCCAAAGTACATTTCATGATGTTTAAGTGCCAGAAAACACCTTACTGCTTCGTTTGGTTTGGTTTGTTTTGTTTTACGACATACCAAACTCAATGGGTTATTTAATGCCGACAAGATTTTTATTGTTGGTAATATTTTTTCCTAAAAGGATTTTTTTAAGCGTTTCACCCCAAGCAAGGCGAGAGTCACTAGGACGCAAGGGGTTACAGAAAATTTGGAGGAAGATCAGATAGGAGTGATAGAAGAAAGGATGAGGAGAAGGATAGTGGATAGATCAAGGCAACTGGAGATGTCGATTGACATTACATTTGAATAGCTGGAGATTATAGCTCTCAGGGAAACTGGAATAGGGAAGGGAGTTCCAAGGAGGGGGTGCGACACATGAAGCTATTGGAGTAGAAGAGACGGATACATTTAGGAGTTTTGACAGTGAAAGGGTGAGAGCGGGATGCCAGCCTTGTCGGGCGCTTGAACTCATGAAGTCTGGGAACCAGCGAATGCAGCTCCTCGGAGCAATTGCCATGAAAGTATTTGTAAAAAAGACAAAGAGTCGCGACAACGCGTCTGTGAGAAAGTGACTGTAGACGAGATGCCAGAGCAGGGCCAATTATATTGCATATCCGCCTCTGGAGCCTATCAAGAACCCCGAGGCAAACAGAAGGGGCTCCAGACCATATATGGCAGCAATACTCCATGCAAGGGCGAATTGTTGATTTGTAGATCTGGTGGATCGATTCCGGGGAGAAAACTTTCCTGGCGTGGCAAGGGAGCCAACTTTCCTTGCGGTGGACGATTCCTGGTAATATTTTTTCTTTCAAAAATGTATTTCTGGTTATATTTTTCCTCAAAAATTAATTGCTGGTATTGTTGGTAATAATTTTTCTTCAAGAATTTATTGTTGGTATTAAAACCTACTTTTACACTTTCATATGGTTTGACCCCAATTTGGAGGTTAACTATTTGCCCATAGATGGGACCCTAACAGGTGCTACCACCCCGGGTCATTTAAGAGGTTTCCACGCTCCTCAAAACCTGTATCTTAAGCATAATAATGTTAAAAAAAAACATGGAAAAATATTGGGGCCATCGGCAAAAATTTCATCATTTTCTTAATTTAAAAAGAAAAATTATTTTTATTTTTTCAAAAAGTGATCTTTATTATTACAGAAACTACAAAATATCAGCATATGAAGTTAGTAATTAGAATTGCTGCATTTGGCTGAAATAATTGCTTCAATTCAATGTCACATTGAATGGAACCAAGGTCCAGATTTTCTTATTAGACATTTTTTTTCCATTCTTCAAATTGGCATTAATCGGTTTTCGGTAGAGTACTCCTTCAGTCTCCTCCACAATGGTTCAGTTATATTAAGATCAGGATTTCGTGCTGGTCAGTTTTCGAAAAGATGGACATCTTCATTCCCAAGAATACTTTTTGTTGCACATGGTATGTTACAATGTTCACTGTCATGCTGAAATATTTCTCCATCTTCGAAGTCTCGTAGAAGGTTAGAACGTTGTAAACTAATATTTTTCACTATTTACGTTTCCTTCAACTTTTACCGAAGTTCTTTTACCATTGTTTTTGATGCAACCTCCATACCATTACGTGTCCACCACCAAATTTTACCGTCTTCGCGGTGTATCTTGCATTGTTTCTTTTTGTCAATGGTATCCTTTCATATTCACTGAAGCAAGCTACCACGTGGTATTAGCGAAAGGTTTATGGCACTTCGGTAGTCGCTATGCTACGCTAATCAATGCTTGTCTTCGAGGAAACAGAGACTTTCTCATTCTACGAGTCGTTGCGAAGTCTCCAATATGTTCCTGGGTTTGACAAAAGCATCTTGTTGGGGATTTTAATACTAGGGTAGGAAATTTCTGGGAGACTTGGAATTGACTGGGGATTTAATAATCAGGGAAAAAAAGAAAAGAAATAACATTTAGTTGCTTCTTGAACTGCAAGATAAGTTTTAGCTTCACATTGTGAGTCGTCCTGTGTAAGACGCGTCCTGGGTAAGACGATAAATTAAGCCTAACAGCAAGCCTTCTGATCAGGAGGGTTTGATGGGCGTGGAACCACCTCTTAATTGCTGATGTTACCAGGTCCACCCTGACCCGGGGTGGTAGCACCTGTTGGGGTCCCGGCTATGGGCAAATAGTTAACACCCAAATTCGAGTCAAAACACTATGAAAGTGCAAAAATAGGGTTTAATACCCGAAATACTTTTTTTTTTTAAAATTATTACCAGCAATACATTTTTGAAAAAAAATTCTACCAGCAAAATAAAATTCTTACCAGAATAG